GTGTATCTTTGACTATGTGCATTTTCACCAAAAAAAAAAAAGGTTGAGAAGTTAGAGGGTTGACATGTTGTGGGGTTGTTAACCAACGTCATAAAACAATATGTGTACTACTGTTTCATGAGAAACTATTTTTTCTGTAAGCCTTCACCTGAAGTAGAATAAAAAAAAAAGTAAAATAAAGAAGAAAAACATAAAGTCTCAGTAAAAACAAAATCTATAAAAACAAAAGAAATGAAAAAAAAAAAAAAATCCACAAACAAAAGGAACTCAGGACAGGAGAGTAAGAGGAACAAAGAAAACATCAGCATCACCAAAAAAAGCACTACAAAATGCCATCTCACTCCTAGGTATATATCCTAGAGAAATAAGAGCCATCACACGAATAGACATATGCACACCCATATTCATTGAAGCACTGTTCACAATAGCAAAAAGATGGAAACAACTCAGATGCCCAGCAACAGATGAATGGATAAACAAACTATGGTACACACACACAATGGAGTATTATACAAAGATAAAGAACAATGATGAATCTGTGAAGCATCTCACAGCACGGATGAAACTGCAGGACGTTACGCTGAGTGAAATAAGTCAATCACACAAGGACAAATATTGTATGAGACCTCTACACACAAAAAGAAACAATCTTTGTTGGTTATGAGATGGGAGGGGTGGGGGGGAAATACTAAACAGACAATAGATAAGTAGTATCTCTGGTGAAGGGTGAGACAGTACACAATACTGGGGAAGCCAGCACAACTTGTACAAGGAAAGGTCATGGAAGTTCCACAGACACATCCAAACTCCCTCAGGGACTGAAATGCTGGGCAGAGGGCTGTGTGGACCATGGTCTCAGGAAACATCTAGCTCAACTGGCATAACACAGTTTATAAAGACAACGTTCTATATTCTACCTTGGTGAGTAGTGTCTAGGGTCTCAAAAGCCTGTGAGCAGCCATCTAAGATACGCCACTTGTGTCACCCCTTTGGGAGCAAGGGAGAATGAAGAGAACAAGATACAAGGAAAAGGTTAGTCCAAAGGACTAATGGACCACAGCTACCACAGCCTCCACCAGACTGGGTCCTGTACAGCTAGATGGTGCCCAGCTACCACCACTGACTGCTCTGACCGGGATCATGATAGAGGGTTCCGGACAGAGCTGGAAAAAGATGTAGAACAGAATTTGAACTCACAAAAAAAGAGACCAGATTTACTAGCCTGACAGACTGGAGAAACCCTGAGATTATGGCCTCCGGACACCCTCTTAGCTCAGTGGTGAAGCCCCTCCCAAAGTTCACCATTCAGCCCGGGATTGGACAGCCTCATAAAACAAAACAGGACTAATGAGGCACAGCAGTCCAGGGACAAGGACTAAAAGGCAGGAGAGGTCAGGAAAGCTGGTGATAGGGAACCCAAGATTGAGAAGGGACAATGTTCACATGTCATGAGGTTGTTAACCACTGTCATAAAACAATATGTGTACTGTTTAATGAGAAACTATTTGTTCTGTAAACCTTCATCTAAAGTACAATAAAAAAAATAAAAATGGCTGAAATGAGCTAAAAGGCCACTCAGCTAAAAGTATCATGGTGCCACAAAAGAAAATTAGCCCTTGATTAAGTAGGGTATGAAAGAGCTACAATTCTAGGTTAAACCCTTGTTTTTATTTTCATGATCCCTTCAACAAATGACTGAAAAATATGAGACCGAAATGAAAGTAATTTTATTAAAAAGTGAGTTAAATTTATTTTGCCAATATTTTTAACATATTTTTGTATTTTAAATTGATTATATACTGTTATATATATTTCATCACAATAAAATTTAAAAATTAAAGGTAATCGACGATTTTAAAAAATTTCATTAAGACTAGACAGGCCTTGATGATCTATTCCCTATATTTTATCTTTTTTCCCCTGAAGAATATTTTTGGTAGACAAAAGATTCCAAATTTTGCTTAATTCTAATGAGTGCTGTATTCACATGATATGCACCCACTAAATATTATTTTAATAAAAAATGGATGAATTAATGAATTAAAAAAAAATTAAAGACCAGATGAAACAGCCATAATCCTCAAATTTCTTTACTGTTCCGAAGGTTCTCTGAGGTATGGGCTCCTATAGTTTAGTTATCATTTGTTCCAGCATCTAAGCAGAAGCAACCAGGCCAACAACTACCCGCTTATACACTCCACTCCCAGTGTGGAGGATACAGTCACAAAGTTAGAATTCAGCCTCTGCCACTAACTATGGGATCTAGTCACATTCACCTTTCTGAGAACTGGTTTATCATCTGTGTATCAGGGACAATAACACCTGCAGAAACCTGCAAGAGCCACGGGAGATGTCATATGTGAAAGTACCTTGTATGACGTCTGGCACAACACAGGTGTTCAAAAAATGTTTTTAAATGTCCCAGTCAATGGAAGTACTTTCTTAAAATGTGTTTTGTTGTTACTGTGTTTTAACATTCTCATGATACGATTAACACACCCCAAATACTTCCATAAAATACCCTTAACACATATATATTACTCATCCCTGTTTGTCTTCTCCATCAAGTCTGCTTTTTGTTAAAATTCCAGAGCAGGGGTAAAAGGCCTTCTGTAAAAGGCCAGTTAATAAATATTTTAGGCATTTTTAAAAAAATAACTCTTTAAAAATATAAAAGCCATTCTTGGCTCTTGCGCCTCACACAAACAGGACCCACAGGCCGTATATTGCCAGTCTCAGTTCTACAGCACCAAAACACACTTCCCAAATTGTGGTGAAAAAAATGGGTGATAGGGGACGTCCAGGGGGAGGAAATCGACCACCTTCCCAATATGGTCACTGATTCCATACTCATTTTAAGGTCCGGAGCTCTGAGGTCTATTATAGCCAATGAAATATCTCCTATCTCTAGAGGTGGGAGAGGCAAAGAGAAGGAATGTCATCAAAGTGTAAGAAAAGCTGTCATATCAACTCTGGATTGAAAAACAAGTAGAGAGTGCTACAGACTTCACAACACTGCTAAGAAGTGGTCACTCCACTGAAAGTATCATGATGGCACAAAACAAAATCAGCCCTTGATTAAGCGGTGTATGAGAGAGTTCCAATTCTGAGTTAAACCGTATATTTTTGTTTTTATGATTCTTTCAACAAATGACTACAAAAAATATGAGACTGAAATTAAACCAATTTCATAAAAAAAGAATAAAATTAATTTTGTCAATATTTTTAACATATCAATTTTTATATTTTAAACTGATTGCCACATTAGGATAAGATGTTCAATTTTAGTCTCCTAATTAATTACTGAAGATTCTATTCAAAAATTCTTTCTCTTCAATTCACTAAATAAAATAAGCAACGATGTTCCCATCAAGAGAACATAATCACACTAGTTTTTTAAAGAAAAGTTTAAACATTTTAAACCACTTATTCCCTTAAATTTTTCTAAACCTAAATTATGACACAAAGTCCATTCATCATTCACTATAAACAATCTTTTATCTTTTGATTTCATTCACTAGCCTTTTTCATTTAGCTTTGGTTGCCAAAACAAAAAGGAATCTGATTAACTCTAGTAAAACAACTGACAATTGTTAATAATAATTCAGGTAGCAGTTCCTTGTTCTAAATATACCTGTAAAAAGAAAGGTCAGATTTTTTAAAATAAAGCTTGCTTTATAAAGACAGATCCACAAAAAGCTTCCTTTACACAATCTATTAATTACATACTTAAAATGTAATTCAATTTTTAAAAACTCTATTGATTTACTTGCAAGCAGTGACTAATACATTTACTAGTCATAGTGAAATCTGAGGCCTATAGCTATTCTTCTGAAAATACGTGTCTTTTTTCCTCTGTTTTAAGTAAAAATTCCCTCACACAGAATGATTTCTTAACTCAAAAAATCACAAATTAGGAATATTACATAAATTAGTCTGAATGATCATTTACAAGTTCTCTTAAATCAGAAAGTTTCTTGTACTTACCAGTGACGTCTGATCCTCAAATGGCCTTGTAATATTTTTCCTAAGGATATTAAAAAAAAAGGTAACCCCAATTTTGGTAATCTTGATAAGTAAATTTGTCCATAACAATTATATAATATAGTAAGTAAAAGAAAATTTCAGATTTAGATGATTAAAAAAAAAAAAGAAGAAGAAGAAAAAGCTGGAAGGATATTCATTCACTCAAACACTTATTTCGTGCCTATATGTGCCAGACATTGCCATCCTAGGATCTAGGGATGCTACTGTGACTGTGTCAAACATAACTGTTGCTCTCATGGTGCTTACCTTCTAGGGGAACAATAAACAAATAGTTTCAAAAAGTAGGAACTGTTGTGACAAGAAAAAAATAGGGTATTGTGTTAGCGTACAGAGTGGAAAACGACCATTTGAGCTGAGACCTAACTAATGAGAAGTTTGCAATGGAAAAATTTTGAAGTTAAGCATATTCTAGGAAGTAACAGAACTGGCAAAGATTCTGAGATGGTAACAAGCTTAAGAATATTCAAAAAACAGAAAGAAGGCAAGTGTCACTGAAGCCTAGTGAGCAAAGGGTATAATGGTGGGATATGAGGTCAAAGATACAGACATGGCCCAGATTATGTAGGGTCTTGTTGGTCAAGGTAACGTATGCAGATTGTAAGAGTAATGGAAAGCACTGGAGGGTTTTAGGAAGGAAAGTGATATCACTGGATTTAAATTTTCTTTTTAAAGGATTGCTCTGTCTGCTATGTGACAATGGACTGTAGTGAGGCACAGGGAAAGAAGAATCCATAAGGAGCTATTACAATAATCCAGGAGAGAATTAAAAAAAAAAAGTGATTGGACCAGGAATAGTCGTAGAGATGGAAAAGTGGTGGGTACAGAAATGCAGAGCATGCTGTCTTTCATATAAAAGGAGGAAAAATAAAAATATATATTTATACTTGTTTAAATACACATTAAAAAATTCTGGTAAAATATGTAAGAAACTAATATTGGTGGCTGCTCTGGGAAGAATGTGTGTTTATATTTTCACTGTATAACTTCTGATTTTTGTCATGTAAATAAAGTAACTATAAGATGGCTAATCATTTTTTTAAAAACTTAAAGAGAAACAAAATCATATAGATAACATGATCTCAATTTTGTTTAAAAGAATAAAATAAATGTATAGATATAGAAAACATACATCAAAATGTACACAGTGCTTATCTCTGGGTGATTATTTACTTCTTTAAGCATTACCCAAATTATCTAAAACAAATATGTATAACTTTTATAATGGGGGGAAAAGTATTTTTAAAAAACTGTACAAAGCAAACAAACCAGGAAAAATTACTATAGCAATTATGATTAACAGCTGTTATGGACTGAATTGTATCTCCCCAAAATATGTGTTGTAAATCCTAACCTCTACCTGTGGTTATAATCCCATTTGGGAATGGGTTTTCTTCGTTAAGAGGCTACATCAATGTAGGGTGTATTTTAAGCCAATCACTTTTGAGATATAAAAAAAGTTCAAAACAGACGAGGAACTTCCTCCAGAGCCGACAGATAGAGAAAGCCTTCCCCTAGAGCCGGCACCCTGAATTTGGACTTCTAGCTTCCTAAACTGTGAGAAAATAAATTTTTGTTTGTTAGCCACCCATTTGTGATATTTCTGTTACAGCAGTACTAAATAACTAAGACAACAGTTAACAGCAATTCACAAATAAGGAAATACGACCTACTGGAAACATATGGAAAATACAAGTTAAACAAAATATCACTGTTTTCATTTAAATATCCATAAAACTTGTATATTGCACTCAATCAGAGGAACAAATTTTTCAAAAAGCTGTATTGGGCATAAAGCTATACCCAGTACATAATCCTACTTCTAGAAATCTCATGCAGAAAATAATTCAAAAGGATAACTCAATTGTTATGTCAATGTAAAAAAATGGCCATTTCAACATAATTTGTGATAAAAAAATTGAAAAACCTAAATTGCTGAAAATAGTTAAGGAAATTTTAATGTAACCATTTAATAAAAATTATTCTATCCTTAAAAATGACACTTATAAGGACTACCTATCAGTAGTAAAATGCTTATGATAGAAATGAAAGAGGCATGATATAAAACTGCATATGTGGCAACAACATGGGTAAATCTTAAATGCATTCTCTTAAGTGAAAGAAGCCAGACTTCAGAGGCTACATGTTGTACGATTACATTTATGTGACATTTTGAAAAAGGAAAAACTACAATGATGGAAAACAAATTGTTTTTTGTTTGGATCTTCTCTTTTCCTCTTTCCTTCTACATTTACTAATTGGAATTCTGTAAGGATTGGAAAACAAATGGTTGTCAGGGGTAGAAAGCGGGAGGAGGGACTGACTACAAAGGAACACTACAAGGGAATTTTTAGGGTAATAGAACTGTTCTGTATCATGACTTTGGTGGCAGACATAACTCTATACATTTGTCAAAACCCATAAACATTGTGCACTCCAAGGAGTACATTTTACATACATAAATTAGAACAAAAACAACAACCAGGATGTGTGGGGAAAACCCAAAATGGAATACAAACTATAACAAATGACCTTAACTGTAGTATAAATGAATAGCATAATCACGCTGAAGAGGGAGAAGAAAAATTAAGTTTCTTCGGAAAACAGTATTTTGACTAAATACTTTAAGGCTAAAGACAGAAATCTGTACACAAATTTTGTACTCTAGTTAGTGTATTTGTTTCTTGGGTTAGAAATTCTGAAACTGTGTGTAATAAAACTATACAAATAAGTAAATACATTTTATATATATATTCTATTACCTATAAAAGTAGATAATGACAGTTAAGTTTCTTACTGTAGGAAGAAAGAAGTTACAGGATGGAATGAAGCCTGTGATACTGGACTGAAATCAGAAGTATTAATACGAATGCACACTTTTTTAGAAGGATCAGTAGGAACTCAGGGTTTTTTAACATATAGAAAGACAAAAGCAAATAGTTATGTGTGTACGGGTTAGTATATATAATCCATACTTCCAAGCTCTGTCTGCTCAGAGGGCCTAGAGGCAATGATGCTCCAGTAGCAATAAGCACACTTAGCATCCAGATCTTGGTTTCTAGATCTGGTGTTAGAAACCAATATAAGGAACCAGAATTCCATGGAGAAATTATTGATTCTAGGGCTAGGGCAAATTTCCTTTCCATACTAGACGAGCCTGGAGGAACTTGTGATGCCAGGAAGTTTAAGGAAGTGCTCAAAAAAAAAGGGTCAAGTTGAAAGGGCACAGGAGCCAACCTGAAAGAGCTCCTAATGGCCAAAGGTAGAACAATTTGAGCAACAAAACAATGATAGCACTGGATCATAACCCAAAAGAATGTAAAAAATATCCATGAGTCCATACTGACATAAATAATTAAACAAATTGGAGAGAAGGGACAGAGTTCTCCTTACAGAATTCCAATTAATAAATGTAGAAGAGGAAAAGAGATCATCATTAGAACACCACAGTAATCACCAATAGATGCTAAAGTTAATGAGCAAAAGTTTGATAAAGAGGACATTTGCATAGTCTTTGCATAGTCTTAAAGTATCTCCTCCAAGATATTTATTAATTACACAGGGAAAAAACAGTAAGTTTATATTGGAAAAATCCAGTAGACATAGCTTTAAAAAAAGCTGCTACCAGTAATAAGACTCAGAAATATCATGTGCCCTTGGTATAATATACTTTTGTGATACTGCCAAAAATACATAACCTCAGTCTATTCATAAGAAAACTTAGGATAAACCCAAACTGAAGGACATTCTACAAAATAAATGACAAGTACGCTTCAAAAGTGTCAAGATCATCAAAGGCAAGGAAAGACTGAGGAACTGTTACAAATTGGAGGAGACTAAGGAGACATGACAACTAAATGCAATATGGGATCCTGGACTGGATGCTCGAACAGAAAAAGGGTATCAGTGGAAAATCTGGTGAAACTCAAATTAAGTCTGTAATTTAAATAATAGTATTGTACCAATGTTAATTTCTTAGTTTTGCTAATTATACTATGGTTATGCAAGGTATAACATTTGGAGAAGTGGGTGAAGAGTATATGGAAACTCCGTACAATTTCTGCAACTTTTCTAAGCCTGTAATTACTTCAAAACAAACATTAAAAAAATAAAACGTTTAAAATCTGCACACATGCTATGATTACAACCATATACAAGTATTCAGTACAAATGAAAAAAGACTAGAAGGAAATAAATTAACATGTTAATAGCTGTATGTAAGGAACTGTGGTGTTTAAAAAAGAAAAAAAATTCCAAATCTTTCATAAAGTGGTTACTTTTATAATGGGACAAAATAAGCAAAAAAAAAGTCATGACTTACTTTTTATACAGAACGCCATATGGTTTTTTCAGTGCATACTGTAAAACATAATTTATAGCTTTCAAAACAAAACCCATTCTAAAAAGCAAAGATAAGAATCAAGCATAACAGTAGTCATAACACAAGATTACCCTGATCCCTGAATCCTATTCTGACGTCTTCTGTTTGACTCCCTTTTGATCATTTACAATTTTTACTAAATAACTTACCACATAAGCTTAATATTCTAACTTAGACCAGACTTTCCTAACTAAAGATTTCTATGTCCTTTCAACAGTCTATCCAGTTTATAAATCCTTTCACTTCTTTAAAGTCTACTTTTTTTGTTTTCCCTAGGCAAACAACTTGAGAGTACAATATGTAATACAGGTAGTCCCGACTTATTGACAAGGTTCCATTCCAATGACTCTGTCATTAAGTTGGTTGTGATGCAAGTAGAACACTTCTTTTTTTTCTTAGTTTTCATTATTATTGCCTTTTATCATCAGTATCTTTATAAATCCGATCTTTATTTGTCTTTGAGGATTGGAAACATTACATGTAAACTCTGCAAATGAACATCTGAGTATGATAATACCAGTAAATTACACACAGTGACACTGTATGTAGTACGTATTACTAACAATAAGATGTACAAAAAAAAAAAGAGGGTTGTAAGTGCAGTTCATCATAACTCAAATACATCATAAGTCAGGGACTATCTATATAAAGAAGAGCAGAAAAAAAGAGAAAAAGATAAAATGTATGAAGAAAGGCTGACAGAATTGAAGTCACATCTAGACATTAAAAAAAACAAAACAAAACCTGAGAAACAGTCACAATGAAGACAACCAGAATACTAGCCAGAGTTTAAACACTGATCTTTAAAAAATTCCTATTATTCAATCTTATTTTCATTTTTTTCTACTTCTTTTCACCCAGCCACTAATAAGCACTTATTACCTGTATGGCCTGTATTGCTCTATCATAGGAATAACAAAGATCTAAGGCACTGCCTTGCACTGAGAAATAAGTAGATGAGGGAAGCAATTAAAAACAGGGTAAAATGATCATTCATCAACTATCAGAGCTTGTGAACAAAGGAAATTCACCAATAAAAGCTATCCTTTAAGTACTAAAATTTTTTATGATTCTTGACCAAATGTTTCCTTGCCTCAAGTCATAAACACCTTTTCTTGACAATTCAGAGTCATCATTATGAAAGTTAACTACTGTAATAATCTGTAATACTGTGCTGCTCTTGAGCTTATTTAATTACGTAGGGTTACTTCTTCCTACATGATCCCTGTGGCGCAGTGGATAAGAACCTGGCTGTTAACCAAAAGGTCTGCAGTTCAAACCCACCACCCACTGTGCTGAAGAAAAGACCTGGCAGTCTGCTCCTATAAAGATTACAGCCTAGGAAACCCTATGGGGCAGATCTATTCTGTTATATAGGGTTGTCGTGAATTGGAATGGACTCGCTGGCACACAACATTTCTCCCTACAATAGCTGGCCCAGACTCTAGTCCTTTCCTAGTTGGTATTTCTGCTCTTTTCTATTTTTGTCTCATCGTTTTTTTTCCCAAGTGACTAATATTACTGGAAGCCTGCCTACTAGAGATTGGACACATAGTATGGCTGTTTTAGATACAGTGGTCAGGGCAAGGCCTGTGAGGTGATATTTGAGCAGAATTTTGAGCTGAAGTACAAACATTTCAGGAAGAGGAAAAATCAAGTTCAAAGGCTTTAAAGCTGGTATGAGCTTGGTATGGTCAAGGAAGGGAAAGGCAGTCAGTGCAGCTTCAGCGGTGAGCAAGGCTGAGTGCTACAAAATAAGGTTAGACCTGGAAGGTCTTGAAAGTCTTGATAAGGAGTTTGAACTGTATACTGATTGAAATGGGAAAGCCACTAGAAGGCTTTGAGCAGGACAGTAACAGGATATGGATTTTTAAAAGATCATCTGCTGCTATATGGAGAGGATCGAAGCAGGGAGTTTGACAGTTTAGTTAAAAGATGGTGTGGCTTGGATTAAAGTGGTAATGGTGAAGCCGGTGGGAAATGATCAGATACCGTACATAGGGTAAGAGTCAACAGAACTTGCTGACTGGTATTTAAGATGTAAGGGTTAGGGAGAAGTCAGACATAATAAACCAGATTTTAAAAATTATTTGAGAAACTCATTTTCTAAAAATTGAAGCATTATTTACATACAGTGAAATGCTCAGAGCTTAAGCGTACCATTTAGTCAGTTTTAACAAATGTATCCACTCATGTTACTCATTCAAGACAAAAAATATTTCCATCACAGAGAAAGTTCTTTCATCCTCCCTTCCCAGTAAGTCCCCTACCTACCCCACCCACCACTGATCTGATTTCTATCACTACGTTATTCTAGACTTTCATATAAAGATAATGTACTTTTTTGTTTACGCTTTTTTTTTCGGGGGGGGGGGGATCTGGTTTTTTTCACTAATTGTTGCATAAACTCACTTTTAAAGAATTCTTGCATACTTCTCTTAAAGAAATTTATTCCTTTCTATGCTTAGTGCCATCAGTCCAAACTGTCTTGACCTCACACCATTGCAAGTTCATTTATCTCCCCTTAATCCAATCTATTCTGGACCCCATCTCAGAATTATAGGAGGTATCTAAATTATCAGAAGGGACCAGTCCCTGGAGAATGACATTATGCTTGGTAAAGTAGAAGATCAGCAAAAGAGAGACCTTCAACAAGATGGACTGACACAGCATCTCTACAACAACATCTCTAAATTATTTTTCCTATATCAAGGCTTTAACCTGAGACTGCCTATGCCCTACTCTCTATACTATTAAGCACAAACTTTTCACCCAACTCTTCAAGATGCAGCAGAACCAGCCTGCTTTACTTGATGAGGCATGCTCACCTTCCTCTCAGAACCTTGAGCCATTCAATGGCCTCCAGCCTGGAATGTTCTCCTTGCTTAGCCACACTCCTTTCTAAGGCCAAATATGAGTTTCAATTTCTTCAAGAAGCCTTCCCCAACCACAATATCCACAATGATCTCTCCGTCCTCTCAATTTCTAATCTTACCCTCACTATTTTAACAATTAAATATTGTCTGTGTATATGTATATTTTATTTCATCAGTGGGGTTCCTAGCTTATAGAACAACAGAGGCAGCACCCTGCCAACACAATGACATTCAGAAAACATACCAAAAAAGTATGAGCATATGCTAGGCATTTAAATATCTGAACTGACTATTATTATAACAAGTACAGGGAGTTTAGTCAAATCTATTCAATTACTTAGTTGATTTAACACAAAGAATCTATCTGCTGTGCTCAAGGACTAAATATTCAACTACCTAATAGACATGTCCACATACTATGGCTTTCATTCACTGATTAAACATTTATTCAGCACCTACTATGTGCCAGACACTGTACTATACACAATGCTATGGGGTAGAAAAACTAGGCTGTAGAGGCTTCTTAGGGCTTTTATCTTCATCATTTAAATTACATGTCCTAAATGGAACGTGTCACCTTTCCTTCCACTTGCTCCATTCTCTGACATTATCACCCATCAGGTACTCAAGCCAGAAACCTGGAAAGTCATACTTTTCACTGGTGTCCAAACTCTCCTACCCTCAACATCTCTTCTCTCTCACCACCTCTCATGTTCTCTACCACCACCAGACTCCAGATGCTCTTCACCTGACAGCAATGGCTTAACTAGTTTCCTACATTTGGTCTCATCCCCTCTAATCCAATCAATTAAAAACTTTAATCACATTTCTCACTTAAAATCTTTCAATGGTTCCACAAGCTTTCAGAATACAATTCAAACTTCATGTTACTATCTTCTTCTAGCCTCATCTAGACCACTCTCCTTTAGCCATTCCCAACTATTTCAAGTTTCCCAAATGCATCATGCTCCTTCACACTTTCTTTTGCACATTTTACCTCAGATTTGGAAGTCCTGCTCTTCCTATCCTGCTTAACTCCAACTCTTCCTTCAAAATGAAGATTAAATGTCATCTCTAAGAAGCCCACCTGAAACCCCTATGTGATTTTAACTCTGCCTCCCATCCTACCCTGTGCATGCCTCAGCACACTACTTAATTCACAAGGCTGTTTAACTGTTTCCTTGTCAGTCTCCCTCAGGAAGCTCACTGAAGGAACTGTGTCTTAGCTAACTATTAATATTCAGCACCTAATAATTAGTGTTGTTGAATAAATATACAGTAAAAGAATGAACAAATATACGATAACATGCAGTTGTTTCACTTTACAAATGAAATATGTTCCTAAAATGTAAGTCAAATTCTAATAATTCCAATCAGTTGAAATTTACTAACTTTAAGTAAAGGAACTAGTTGCTTTGAGGAAAACCATTAGTGCCTCGGCAAGGCAAATAACCTCCAACTTTAGCTCTTCTCTAAGGCACCCTGGTGATGCAGTGGTTAAGTGCTTGGCTGCTAACTAAAAGGTTGGCAGTTCGAACCCACCAGCTGCTCCGTGGGAGAAAGATGTGGCAGTCTGCTTCCGTAAAGAGTTACAGCCTCGGAAACCCTATGGGGCAGTTCTACTGTGTCCTACAGGGTGGCTATGAGTTGGAATCAGCTCGATGGCAGTGGGTTTTGGGTCAGCTCTTCTCTAAGGATCTAAGTTCTTTTTTTTTCCCCCCCAGTAACTGGTGTTTTTTATTGTGGCAAAAAAAATATATAAAAGAACTTTTGCCATTTCAACATTTTTACGATTCAGTAACATTAACTATGGTCATCATATTGTGCAACCATCACCACTATCCATTTCCAAATTTTTCCATCAAAAGGCTAGCAGTTCTTAAGACAAGGCAAACCTATACGTGTATTTCTCCAACAGCCAAAACTAGTATGTTGAAAATTTCCTAAAATGATTTCAACACTATTTAAAACATAAATATATATACATACCACATCTTTAAGTACTTGTGTCACTGTTGCATTTGCATTTCCCCCTTTAATGAGCATGGCATTTTTAATATTTTCACTGAGTTTTGGTTCTCTCTTCTCAAGGAATCTCTTGGCCCTTTTCGTTTTGGGCTTCCTGTTCAGAAAATCAGAATATAGAATAGCTTAAAACATTTTCTTCCCATTTCAAAACTAGGACTTGACTGATGTGCAAATTCTTAAAAATCAAATGAGACATTAAATAACTTATTTATCAATTAGGATTCCACCATTAAATAAAATCTCATTTTTAATGAGATATTAGTAAAAGATACTCAGTTATTAGTGTTAAATAAGTGTTAGTTTTACTAACTTTTGGTTAAAAAAAAAACTTTTATTTTGATATTCCCAGTGTTCTTTTATTACTGCTTTTTAAAATAATTTTATTTTTATTGCTAAGGATATACACAGACTATACACCAATTCAACAATTTCTACCTGTACAATTCTGTGACATTGATTACATTCTTCGAGATGTGCATTCTCACCTCCTTTTCTGAGTTGTTTCTCCTCTGCTAACATAAACTCACTGCCTCCTAAGTTTCCTATCTAATCTTTCGAGTTGCTGCTGTCAATTTGATCCTATACAGATAAATCTTAAAAGAGCACAATGCTCAAGGAGACATTCTTTACTAACTAAGCTCAACTACTGTTTGGTTTTAAGAAGACTTCAGGAGATATTCTTGGTTTAAAGTTTAAATTATCTAAGGGCAATAGTTTCAGGGGTTCATCCAGCCTTCCTGGCTCCAGAAAGCCTAGATTCCAAGAGAATTTGAAATTCTGTTTTGCATTTTCCCCCTTTTGACCAGGATTCTACCTTAGAATCTTTGATCAAAATGTTCAGTAATGATAGCCAGGTGCCATTCAGTTCTTCTGGTCTCATGGCAAAAGGAGCAATTGTTAATTGAGGCAATTAGCCACACATTCCATTTTCTCCTTCTGTTCCTGACTCTCCTTCCTCTGTTGCTCTAGGCAATTAGAGACTAATTGTTATATCTTGGATGGCTGCTTGCAAGCTTTTAAGACCCCAGGTGTATTACTGCTTTTTTATAAATCTTTCTTATTAAAAAAAAAAAAAAACCTCAAATGAATACTGTTGCTATTTCCTATCTTAAAGCAGTCAAACTATACCCTGTAGCCTAACACAAAGAACTGCACATAAACTGCTGATGAACCTGTAGGCAGTTACTGAACATAGCTTACTAATTGAAAGCCACATAAGGAGGCTAATCATTGCTTATCTTTCTTCCAGGTGTTAGACCATAATGCCTGCCAGGAAGTACATACTGCCCCACTCAATCATCACTACTGAGAAAGTTAAACATCACTGCCACCAAAGGGGAATAATAATGGTTGACACTTTTATAAATTCACTGTTTTAGGGCTTAATCCTCACCACAACCCAGTGAGATAGGTACAATTATTATCTTCACTTTACAGATGAGGCAATTGAGGACAGAGTGGTAATGTGAATGCTAGTAAGGAGACCAATCTTCAAATACCAGATATCCAATCACTCAGTAAAATATGAAGAGAAAATAAATCTATTATTCTGATTTTAATATCTAGCAGCAGAAGTAGCATATTTTTATACATTTCTGTTCAGGAAAGGAGCTGTTATTTCTGCTAACTATACTTTTCCAACAGTTTTCTGCCATCTAATGAAATAACTCCTCTCTTAAGTAACTGTGACCCTCCCTCTTCCAGTCCTATGAACAATCCAGGAGAGAAAAGAAAAACAGCACCATACAATTTAGTTTCCTAAGCAGATTTTTAAAAGTCTCTTCCAGACAAAACACATATAAAGCTTCTACTCACTTACTGGTTGCTAAAATACACACAGTTTATTAAGAAATACACAGTGTGTCTATATGGCAATAACAGCCTTATATACTCTACATCCCATGTCGTTTGTTACTTCTCATTAACCGACAACTAAGGCAAACAGCACCTTACATATTTTATTAGCTTTTGTTGCCCAATTAGACTGTAACCTAGTCTTACTCACCTCTGTAGTCACAGCACCTAGAGGAACATATAGCAGGTGCACAGAAATCTCTGAATGACTAAAAAGACGAAATTGTTGTTTTGATTACACGTTAACTCAGATAAGTCGCAAGAAGAAAACTATAATAAATAGCAGAAGTATTTAAGAGCTCAATAAATACTTTCTGAACGAATCTAAAACAGTATTACTCAAACATAACCCAGAGAAGTGTACAAGAATGGGAGGAAAAGAAAAAGCTAATGAGTATGTTTTACGTGTTGTAGCAAAGACTTTACACACATTCTCGCAACAAATTGTCAAAGCTCTATTAAATATGACTATTACAATTGCTATTTTACACAGTAAACTGAGATTTAGGGAGATTTAAGTGGCCAAAAGTTATAAGGCTTTAAATGGACGCGTCCAGATTGTCACCTAGATCTGTCAGATTCCGAGGTCTGTGCTCTTAACCCCTCGCTGTACCACTCTCATATTTCTTCGGAAGCCAGACGTTCTTAATTTGCATGGAGGAAAGCGACCAATGTTTCCGTCCAACCTGCATCCCGCGGCTCCCACTTGGGGACTCCAGCGCTTTCAGTCCCCCGGCTTCCGGCACCAGCAGACACCCGAGTTGGTGGATTGATCAGCCCTCACCCGGACAGGACTGGCAAAGCGCGTAAGAGAGGACAGCGGTACCAAGAGGAGAGGGAGCATAGGCAATATCACTCTTTGCCGCCACAGAAGTCCCTGTCCCCAACGTTTCCAGGGCCAGACACCCCAGCGCACTTACACTACTCGGTCCAAAGCGTCCATCGCTACCGCAACCCGATCTGATGAACACACGTGCGCCGCGCCAGTACGCGACTAGGTTCGTGCCCCGGAACAGGAGGAACCGGAAATTGCGCGTGACGCCAGTTCCTTGGCCCGCCGCGCTGTTGGTACCTGGAGGAGCTGGTGGCCATTTTGTATCAGATCTTGCTCTGTTCCTTTGGTTATGAATTTTTGCCATGGCTTTTTCGTGCGAATTACAGGTGCCGAGGAACACTTTAAGTAACGTCGCTCCTCACTGCCTGTATACTCGGAGCCAAATATTCAGGGATCAGGTGTTATTCTTCAGAGACTCCCCTGGATGCTAACATCCCAGTAGGTAGTCATTAAAAATATTATGTGATATCACTGAACTATACATGTAAATATTGTTGAAATGGAAGATTTTTTGCTAATTATATATTTATCACAATAAGAAAATATTAATGTGACATGCACACTATTGACTAAACTGTGAGATCAGTGAGGGCGTAGTTTATGACTACCACAGTGCCTGACGTAAAAGGTGCTCAGAAAATAATACTGCTGATTGTGATTTTTTTTCCAATTTTTAAATTGAGATATAATTTATATACCATAAAATTCACCTTTTTAAGTGTACAGTTCAGTAGTTTTTAGTATAATCACAAAATTATGCACCCATCATCACTATCTAATTTTAGAACATTTTCATTACCCTCAAAAGGAACCCATACACTCTAGCAGTTCCCGTTTTTCCTTCCCACCAGCCCTAGGCCACCGCTAATATCTGTCCCTATGGATTTGTTTATTCTGGACACATCATATATAAATGAATTCATACAATATGTGGCCTTTTGTGTCTGGCTTCTTTCACTTTGCATAGTGTTATTAAGGTTCAAAAGTGTTGTAGCATGTATCAGTACTTCATTTCTTTTTTAGGGTTGAATAATACTCCATTATATGGATGTGCCACATTTTGTTTGTTCGTCACTTGGCCCTAGTGGCACAGTGGTTAAGACCTCAATTGCTAACCAAAATGTCACAGTTCGAATCCACCAGCCGCTCCTTAGAAACCCTATGGGCAGTTCTTTCCTATGGAGTCACTATGAGTCAGAGTTGACTCTACAGGCAACAGGTTTGGTTTGGTTTTATTCGTCAATGGATGAACATTTGAGTTGTTTCCCCTTTTTGGCTGTTACGAAAATGCTACTTTGAACATTCCTGTACAAGTTTTTGTGTGGACATATGTTTTCAATTCTTTTGTGTATCTACCTAGGGGAGAATTAGTGGGTTATGTGGTAACTATGTTTAACATTTTGAGGGACTGCCAAATCGTTTCTAACTCACCTGCACCATTTTACGTTCCCACCAGCAATGTAAGAGGGTTTAGTATTAGTTTCCTATTGGTGTTTTAACAAATTACCACAGATTTAGTGGCTTAAAAGGAGTCGTGGTGGTGCGATGGTTAAGAGCTTGGCTACTAACCAGAAAGTCGGCAGTTCGAATCCATCAGCCACTCCTTGGAAACCGTATGGTGCGATTCTACTCTGTCCTCTAGGATCACTATGAGTCGGAATCAACTCCACAGCAACAGGTTTGGTTTTGGTTGGTAGCTTAAAAAAACACAAATTTACTTATATTTTAGAGGTCAGAATTATGAAATTCTACCACAGGTCTAAAATCAAGGTGTCAGTAGGTCTGTGTTCCTCTTGAGGCTCCAGGGGAGAATTTGTTTCCTTGCCTTTTCCAGCATCTAGAAACTGCTTGCATTTCTTGACTCATGGTCCCTTTCTCCATCCTAAAAGTGCATCACTCAAATCTCTGCTTCCATTGTTACATCTCCTTTTTCTAACTCTGGGGCCAGCCTGAATAAGCCAGGATAATCTTGTCTCAAGATCCTTATAATGTAGCGAAGTCCTTTTGGCCATGTAGGTAACATATTTACAGTTCTGGATTGGTTGCTGTTTCTGAAGCAGGATTAGGAGAAGTAGGGATTAACTAGGGCTTGGCTGTTGTCATAAGGCGAGAGCAGTTTAGCATTTGGGTGTCCCAGGCATAGATGGGTATAGTAAAGTGGGTTGAGTGGCATAATTGATATAAAAAACAAAAAAATAATCACTCAAGGAGAGGATCCTTGTATTTTACAGCTGCTGCACAACCTTAGGAGAAACAATGTTTTCTGTTAAATTTGCATCTGGTTTTATTTGTGTGTGTACTCCCAGCCTGATGAACTAACCATGGGACTGTTTTTTTTTTTTTTTTTTCATTCTAAGCTGATTTTCACTTTCAGTCCCAGTCACTTTTTATTCTTTCACGTTTATTCAGTTAATATTTACTACTGCCTACTATGCAGAAGGAGCCCTGGTGGTGCAGTGGTTAAGAGCTTGGCTGCTAAACAAAAAATCAGCAGTTCAAATCCACCAGGCGCTGCTTGGAAACTCTATAGGGCAGTTCTACTCTGTCCTGTAGGGTCGCTATGAGTTGGAATCGACTCGACAGCAACATGTTTGGTTTTTTGGTTTTGGACTGTGCAAAAGACATTATGCTAGATGCCATGAGGAACTCAGGTATGAGTAAGACATGATTTCTGCCTCTTAGAGAATTCACACACTAATAGAAGAGATAATGTATGTTGAAAATAGCTAAAACATTACAGTGTAATATGAGCTCTTATAATCACTGTGATTTTCTCTGATCTTCATGGAAAAAAGATAGGTGAATAAATAAAAGCCAGGTCACCTTTCTGGGAGCAGCTGCTTTTCTGATTCACCCCCAGAACAGGCTAGAAAAGGAATCCTGAAAGAAACTACAGTGAAACCTGTGAGAGCCAGAAGTCGACAGGACTGCCTTGTTTTTCTGGGTCTCTCAAGTTGTCTGCCTTTGACTGGCAGTTTTACCACTTTTCTGTCACTATTAATGGAAAACATTTGCGTTTTCCTTCTCTGACAGATTTCCATCTTACACAGGTTCCAGCTTTAGCAGGTGTTGCTATATAGATCTCACTTTATTGGCAGGCTAGGCTTATTTGATTACTCTTCCTAACCACACCAACCATCACCACCACTCCTACCACTTTAAAGTTATTCATTGATTCATATATATTTATTCACCTTGGCCTTCTTCCTTATACTGCCTCTAACTTTTGGCCTGTCTTATTTCCTTAATCATAAAAATACTTGAAAGAGACCTACATTCTTAAAAGTTTAACAAATATGTATTAAGCATGTGTTACTAAGATAGCACAGGACCAGGCAGCATTTTATTCTGTTATACATAAGGTTGCCATGAGTTGGAGCCAACCTGACGGCAAACAATACCTAACAACATGCAACATGTGGTGATAGGAATCCTTAGGTGGTCCAAATGGTTAACATGCTGGACTGCTAACCAGAAAGTTGGAGGTTCAAGTACACCCAGAGGCACTTCTTTAAAAAGCCTGGTGGTCTACTTCTGAAAATCAGCCATTGAAAATCCTATGGATCACAGTTCTACTCTGGCACATATGGGGCCGCCATGAGTCAGGATCTACTCAACAGCAACTGTTTTCTGATGTGGCAGTAAATGGAAGCATTGGTAGTGCAGTGGTAGAATTCTCGCCTTCCATGCAGGAGACCTGGGTTCAGTTTCTGACAAGTGCACCTCACGTACAGCCACCACCTGTCTGTCATTGGAGGCTTGTGTGTTACTTTGATGCTGAACAGGTTTCAATGGAGTTTCCAGGCTAGGGCTAGGAAGAAAGGCCTGGTGATCTGCTTTCAAAAATCAGCCAGTGAAAACCCTGTGGATCACAACAGTACAATCTGCAAGTGATCATAGGGATGGCATAGGACCCGGCAGTGTTTTGTTCTGTTGTGCACAGGCACCAGCTTGACAGCAGCTAACGATACAAAGATTACTCTTACCTTTGAGGAGTTTACAGAGCTGGGTCAGTTTCTAATGACTGACTTTTCTCCTCATTATGGGTTGTATTTTCATGTTTCTGTTCATACCTGATAATTTTTTATTGAATATTAGGCTTTGTAAATATTATCATATTGGGTGCTGGATATTTTAAAAATATTCTTGAGTGTTGTATTGGGCTGCAGTTACTTGAAAAGTTTGGTCCTTTCAGGTCTTGCTTTTAAGCTTTGTTAGGTGGGACAAGAGCCACATTTAGGCTGATATTGCCCCACTACTGAGTAGCCTTCTGTGTACTCTACCCCGTCCCCCATGAATTATGAGGTTTTCCACTCTGGCTGGAAACTGAACTCCAGGAATTGTTTAGGTGGCTGTTATCCCTGCCTCCAGTGGTTTTCTCACACACACGTGCTAGTCCCCTTGGTCTTTCTGGACTCCCTGTTCCATCTCAGAGACCTCTGGGCTCCATCTGGGTTCCCCTTCCCTGCAGTGTAGCCTGGGAGTAATCATACGGCTCACCTCATTTGTTTCCTGGGACAATTTAAGCATTAGAATGAATAGTGACAGTGTGGTAAACAAAAATATGTCTACATCCTAATCCCCAGAACCTGTGAACATTGCCTTACATGGGAAAATGGAGTTTGCAGATGTGATTGGGTTAAGGATCTTGAGATTGGAAGATTATCCTGATTTTCTGAGTGAGCCTTATCTAATCACAAGGGCTCTTATAAGAAGTTAGGAATGTAAGAGTCAGAAAAGGAGATGTGGTAGGGAAAGCAGAAAGAACAATATTTGAAAATGCTACACTGCTCACTTTGAAGATGAAGAAAGGTCAGAAGCCAAAGAATGTCGGTGGCCTCTAGAAGCTGGAAAAGGTGAGGAAATGGATTCTCCCCTGGAGCATCCAGAGGGAATCTGACATCTTGATCTTAGCCCTGTAAGGCTAATTTAGAAATTCTGACCTCCAAACTAATTAATTTGTTGTTTTAAGCCACTAAGTTTGTGGTAATTTGTTACAGTAGCAATAGGAAATTAATAGCCAATGGAAACATGGGAGTATGAGTAGGAAGTATTGTTCAGACATGATAATGAAAGAAATCTTATTTTGGATCTGAGGAAACTAGGACCTCTGATACCTTGATATTCTCATTAACAACACTCAAGTATGATTACATTAAACCTAGGTAAACTTGTAAAATACTTAGAAATTATAAGTTGTCATTAACAAAGGAGCATAATCACTGTATTTTATTAATATCAAATGTATTTCTAGGAAACTTATAAACAGAATTTGCCTATTCTAAGAGGAAATATCAGTGGAAGTCATAGATGAGAGATGACAAATCCATTTTCAAAATCAATGAAGACATTTCTGGAAGATAAGACTCTGTGATCCTGACACATTTTAGGAAGCTTGATCAGTTTCACATAAGCTGTTGGAACAAGGGAAATGAAAACAGTGGATCCTAAAAATAAACTGCTGCTATATGAGTAGAAATAGGAGCCCTGGTGGCGCAGTGGTTAAGTGATACGGCTGTTAACCAAAAGGTCAGCAGTTCAAATCCACCAGCTGCTCCTTGGAAACCCTATGAAGCAGTTCTACTTTGTCCTATTGGTTGGAATTGACTATGGGGCAATGTGTTTTGTTTTGTTTTTTTTTAATGAGTAGAAAAGTACATGATATCATCAATAGTTTCACTAAGCTGACTATACCTGTCAGGAAATTTGTTATGACCAGCTATGTAGTACATAATGAATAAATGGGTGGGTTTTCAAACTTTTTTTTTTTAATTCTACTTTAAGTGAAAGTTTACAATTCAAGTTAGTCTCTCGTGCAAAAATTTATACATAGTCACATGACCCTAATTGCTCTGCCTATACTGTGACAGCACATTGCTCCTTTCCACCTGATTTCCCATGTCCATTCAACCAGCTCCTGAGCCTCTCTGCCTTCTCATCTCACCTCCAGACAGGAGCTACCCGTTTAGTCTCATGTATCTACATGAGCTAAGACGCACACTCTCCACGAGTATCATTTTATGTCCCATAGTCCAGTCTAATCTGTCTGAAGAGTTGGCCTCGGGAATGGTTTTAGTTCTGGTTGACAGAGTCCGGAGGCCATGTTTTCTGTGGTTCCTCCAGTCTCAGTCAGACCATTAGTCTGGTCTTTTTACTAGAATTTGGGTTTTGCACCCTACTTTTCTCCTGCTCCATCAGGGACTCTCCGTTGTGTTCCCTGTCAGGGCGGTCATTGCGGTAGCCAGGCATCATCTAGTTCTTCTGGTCTCGGGCTGATGCAGTTCCTGGTTTGTGTGGCCCTTTCTGTCTCTTGTGCTAATACTTTCCTTGTGTCTTTGGTGGTCTTCATGCTCCTTTACTCCAGGTGGGTTGGGACCAGTTGATGCATCTTAGATGGCCGCTCGCTAGCTTTTAAAGACCCCAGACGCCACTCACCAAAGTGGGATACAGAACATTTTCTTAATACTTTGTTAGGCCAGTTGACCTATATGTCCCCTGAAAGCATGGTCCCCAGACCCCTGCCTCTGCTACTGTGTCCCTCGAAGTGTTTGATTGTATTCAGGAAACTTCTTAGCTTTGGTTTAGTCCAGCTCTGCTGACTTCCCCTGTAATGTGTGCTGTCCTTCCCTTCACCTAATTCTTGTGTACTTCCTGGTTAGTGAATACCCCTCTCCCTCCCTCCCTCCCCACCGTCATAACCATCAAAGAACATTGTCTTCTGTGTTTAAACCTTTTCTTGGGTTTTTATAATAGTGGTCTTATACAGTATTTGTCCTTTTGTGACTAAGTTCACTCAGCATAATACCGTCCACATTCCTCCATGTTATGTTTCACGGATTCATTGAGTTATCGTTGCGTAGTATTCCATTGTGTGAATATACCATAACTTATCCATTCATCCGTTGATGGGCACCTAGGTTGTTTCTTTTTGCTATTGTGAACAATGCTGCAATGAACATGGGTGTGCATATATCTATTCGTGTGATGGCTCGTAATTCTCTAGGATATATTCCAAGGAGTGGGATTGCTGCATTGTATGGTACTTCTAGCTTTTTAAGGAAGTGCCAAGTCGATTTCCATAGTGGTTGTACCATTTTACATTCCCATGAACAGTGTGTAAGTGTTCCAGTCTCCCCACAACCTCTCCAAAATTTATTTTGTGTTTTTTGGATTAATGCTAGCCTTGTTGGGGTGAGATGGTATCTCACTGTAGTTTTGATTTGCATTTCCACATGTATCTGTTAGCTGCCCAAATGTCTTCTTTGGCGAAGTGCCTGTTCGTATCCCTTGCCCATTTTTTAATTGGGTTATTTGTCTTTTTGTTGTTGAGGTTTTGCAGTATCTTGTAGATTTTAGAGATTAGACACTGATCGGATTTCTCATAGCCAAAAATTTTTTCCCAGTCTATAGGTTGTCTTTTGACTCTTGGTGAAGTGTTTTGATGAGCATAAGTGTTTGATTTTTAGGAGCTCCTAGTTATCTGTTTCTCTTCTGGTGTTTGTGCATTGTTACTTATGGTTCATATTGTGTCAAACATTTCTCTAATGACCATAAAGAGGAATTCTTCAGGATGCACCTTAACAATACGATCTTTTTTAGGTAGAATATCATTATTTGTAAGCAAAAGCAACTCATTGCACTGTCAAAAGTAGTATTTATTGTGACAGCTAAATAAGGACTATGATTCTAAGATTACTTTATAAGTAATTCCAGTAAGTTAGTAAGGTAGTTAGTTGATAAATGGCAGAGAAATTCAATATGAAACTTTAGTCTCACAAAATACTACGTATTTGAAAAATAAGACTTTTACTAAATTCCAAACATTTATTCTTATTGACAGGTAGGGAACTAAAACATACCGTGTTCTCTTCAGAATTTAAGACTTTAATTTTCCTGTCCAACGTAAGGTAGAACTATATTATAGTCTAGATCAGTCTCTTTTGCAAGATTACAAATCTCAAGAATATTCCACTCTACTTCTTTATACTTTTCTAGATTTTTCATGTTTTCTTAAGTGTATAATGTATCAATTAGGGTTAAGTTTGGCTGTAAAAGAGTGACTTAAACAAGAGAGAAGTTTATTTCTCTTCCACATAAAAGGCCAGAGGTAGGCAGTTGCAAAGCTCTTTCTGCCTGAACAGCAGCAGTAGTCAGAGGTTCGGGATGACATTCACAATCACGGGAACTTGGTCGGACTCAATCTAGCACCAGGCTCACTTAACTTTGCAGGATACAGAGCAGAAACACAGCATGGCAGCATGAGGCTTGTTTCAGCTGAGGAGTCTTTACTCTGGCCTCCCAAAAGACAGTTCCAATCCCGTTGTGCATGGGGTCACAAGTTAGGGGCTAACTCAATGGCAGCTAATACCACAAGTTTATGGTAATTTGTGACACTTGTACTTGAAAACTAATACACTTACCTTAGCAAAACCTCCAATTTAAAGAACTCATCAGAGAAGAGTCTCTATGATCATTTAAACTGGTTTTTGTTTTTGGTTTTCTAATTCAATTTATGTCTGGTCTTAGAATGACTCTGCTATATTAAGTTATGCTATAATTGGAAATGTGTGCAGCAACAAAAATAATAAAATAGGTGAACAACTGGAAGCTACAGAGCCAATTATTTGATGTAAAAACTAAAAAGTTCATGATTAGATTATTATGAGAAACATTTCATCTAGGAGTGGCTTCTAAGTCAGCATCTTGAGTTTCCATAAAATCAAAACCTTCTGTATCAAAAGAAGGGATCTCAATAAGAGGACCAGAATCCTCTATTTCCAAGTGCAGTGGTTTCCCCTGTTCATAACTCAGGTCTGAATTATCTTTCATTTGAATCTCTTGCTCCTTCAACTCCAGAGGTTTATCTGGGGCTGGAGCTACAACTTCTTCATCTTCATTTTCATGTAGAAAGCTACAAATCATGTTGGGTCTATTAGAGGAATCATTATCCTTGATTTGTAGCCACTCCACACCACCTAATTCGGCGGGGGGGGGTGGGGGGAGGAAGGCAACACACCAAAAAAGAAACATAAAAAAGGAATTTTAGTTACTTAAGGATTTTTTTTTAAAATTTTCATCCTATAAATACATGTCAAAGTAAAACCCCAACATAAACTAAGGCGCATGATGCCTGTATGTAACTACTGATAAAATAATCATGTAATTTTCATCTTCCATGAAGACTTTGGGATGCCTATAGGGTAGGCGTCATCAAAAATCACTAAAGGTAATCAACTTCAGTTACTATTCCAAACCCTTTTTCCAGAGTTCAATTACCATCTCATTCTGAGAAACAATTTGAGCTCTCACTGCCATCCCATGCCTTAAAGAAAACTTTGTCACTCCCCTACAATATTTTCCTTACCTACTCAATTTTCATAATACAATGGATGATACTACTCTACTGTCTTCCAAGTCAGTACTCTCATGTCATCTTGAGTTAGAATATCCACTTGTGAAATAATCCACTTCTCAAAAAAAAAAACTTGAGAAAATCTATTCCTTTCTGTATTCACTGTCAAAGCCTTAACCTTTCAATGAGCTTCCCAGAACTGCTTCAATAATACTACTCAGGTTTTCTTTTATTACCCTTTCAGCCAAACTTTTACAATGGATCCTCATTAACTTCAATAGCAAGCTCAAGGTGTTTATTCTCATCTTCAACCTTCCATTAGATATATCTAAGATACTCTAACCTATTTTGCCACCCTGTTCACTCCTCTATCTACACCTACTCCCCAATGTAAACTAACTCCTCTAGAGCTGTTTATTGAAACTGCCTCACTGCTGATCCCATGTCTTCTCATGTGCTATTCCTAGAGTCTCCCTCTATCAAAAATGGATTTATCCTTTTCCCTCCAATTCATCTTCAACTGCTGACTTCATATTTTTTTGCTGCAATAACATTGTTCTCCTAGTCACCCAGCCTCAAAATCTTGAAGCTATCCTTTACTCCGTTATTTAACAGAGTACTTGGCACATAACAGATACTTCAAAAAGATGAATGAAATGGGTGGAGTCAGATTCATCCATGTCTATTTCAATGTGATTACTCCTAGAATGCAAGGGCCACATCTCTTGTCTTTATTTTGTTTTGCCTCCAGCATACTGCCATGTTTGGTAACCAGCCTCCAAGACAGTCTCCAGTGATTCTCACTCCTAGTATTTATGCTCCTGTGTAGTCCCCTCCCCCACTAAATAGCATAACAGTGTGTGGCTTCCAAGGCTAGTTCATAAGACATTACTCTCATGGATCACTAGTTCTGGGAGAAGCCAGCTACCATGTTGTGAGGATGCTGAAGCAGTCCTGTGAGGAGGTCCATGTGGTGAGGAAATGAGGCCTCCTGCCAACAGCCAGCACAAACTTGCCGGCCATCTGAGTGAGCCACTTTACAATCAGATCTTCCAGCCTTAGTCAAGCCTTCAGATGACTGAAGCCCTAGCCAACACGTTGACTGCAAACTCAAGAGAGATCCTGAGCCAGAAACATCCAGCTAAGCCAGTCCCAAACTCCAGACTCATAAAAACTGCCTAAGATAATGTTTTTTATTGTTTTAAGCCTTTAAGTTTAGGGGTTATTGGTTATGCAGCAATAGATGACTAACACAACCTTGAATAGTTGGTTACTAACTTATTTGATTAAAGCAAACACCCTATCTTGCCAAAGATGTATGGGATTATTAAAGACTACCAGAAAAGGAAATTCCAAAACTTCCTTTAGAGTGTCTAAATGATAGCTAAGCTTATCTGATATGTATTTGCCTTTCAAGCTCACTCTAGAATTTCAAGTACCTCCTTCCTGTTATTTTTACAGGGTGCTAAAAAGCGTGATAGTTTTGGGATATATAAGAACAAAGGTTTTTTAGTTATGTGTAGTTGGTAAACTAAATTCTATATGATTAATGTACCTTCAAATGTTTATTCCTTGCTTAAAATAAATCTATCAAGTCATGAACACTCATCACTAGAGTTATATTTACCAGAGTTTCAAATATGTCATTGAACAATGAGCTTTCAAACCATTAAAACCAAACCTGTTGTCATCGAGTCAATTCCGATTCATAGCGACCCTACAGGACAGAGTAGGACTGCTCCACAGGGTTTCCAAGGAGCAGATGGTGAATTTAAACTGCCGACCCTTTGGTTAGCAGCTGAGCTCTTAACCACTGCACCACCAGGGCTCCTCAAACCATTAAGTAGTTATTTATTCAGCTCCATAAACATGTGCCTGCCATAGGTGCGAAAAGCACTGGTCTAAAATTTGTCTCTAGTCTGTGATAACTAGCAACTTCAGAAAACTAAATAAGATGCTAATTAAGAACTAGACTCAGGACTAGCAACTGTGGTCCTGGAGTCTCCACCACATATAAAGCCAGCTTCTTCCAATTGTAAGCTTTTTGAAGAAGGTTGCTGCACCTGCCAAAAGCTCCTAGAGGATCCCCTTGGGAATCTAGGACTGCTACTTCCATATTTTCTCCATTTACAAGGAAGTTTTTCTAAAAAAGACTGCTGAATTCCCTAAGAGTTGGAAATCATAGCAAGTTTCTGGCAAATTCCTCATAGTTGTTTCTAATGCAAAGCAAATAGAGACTTCTTATATGTCCCCATTACCCTCTGTTATATTAAAGTTCAACTGAATTTTAATCTATGGTTGGTACTTTTTATGGAGAACCTCAATTTTAATATAGTACTGTAAACATATTACACAGTTATTGCTATAAAGAACAAGGAATATTCTGACAGCAGTGTGTCACTGTCAAAGCCAATGTTGAATCACCTAATTTCAGAGAATTAAGTGAACTAACCTATGTTTTCTTCTCCTTCCTTCTTTTCTGTCAGAAGAGTTCTTGTCATGCTGAGCTTCTTCATTGTATGGCATTTATATTTCAGCACTGTTTTATTATTGCCTTCTGCATCCACTAGAACATAAAATGAACTCAATTATTATACTGGCTAATGCCATCAAATAAAATAATCATATTAAGCCTGGATAATCTCAGTTTAGGGAGTTGGACTAAACTATTTCCTGTCAAGATATTGTAATTCAAGGTTTAACTCATCCCTTCTGCTCCAAGCACAGAAAAATGACGGAAAAAATACATAACAATTAAAGCATGATCAGACTCAAAAACAAGACTATGAATGAGATTAAAGCCATGGGAATTTGAAGTAGGAATTTGACCTTATAGGGTAAAGAGTTCCAAAATTTTACCACTCAAAATGAAGGATCAGAGCAAGACTCACTATTTCAAGCCAAAGGCTGGAGTGAGGACATCCCTACTCATGAAAGAAAGCTGAGAAGAAAAACTGCTGCCAACCTGCTGCCTGGGGTTACAACTTTACAGAAAACTGGGCTTAGGCAGAAGGGAGAATGAGGCTCTGAACCAAGCAGCTGAAGCACTGAAAACTTCTATATACTGCTATGAGTGTAAACTGATACTACACTTTAGAGGGCAACATGTTGATACTTATTTGGTTGAACCATATGAAATTATTGATAGCCTACTAAAAATGGTAATTTCATATGGTTCAACCTAATAGTACAGTTGAAGATACACTCATCAATATAGTAATTCTATTTCTGAGATTATACCTTAGAGACCTTTTTACACATATACACAAGGTAACACATACAATATTTATGGCAGCATTATTTTTTCTCTCTTTTTTATTGTGGTGAAAACGTACACACCAAAAACATCCACCAACACAACTTCCACGTTTACAACTCAATGACATTGATTACACTTTTCTTGTTGTGCCACTATTATCACTGTCCTCATCCAAAACATTCTACCATCATTAACATGAACTCAGTACTCCCCAAACAAAAACTCCTTTCCTCCCTCCCTCCCTCCCATTTCCGGTAACCATTACTAATTTTTGGTTTCTATATATTTGCTTAGGAGCCCTGGTGGCATGATGGTTAAGTGCTCCGCTGTTAACTGGAAGGTCAGCAGTTTGAACCCACCAGCCGCTCTTCCAGAGAAAAGACGTGTCCATCTGTTTCTGTAAAGATTATAGCCTATGTTTAATGAGAAACTAATTTGCTCTGTAAACTTTCATCTAAGCATTAAAAAAAAAAAAAAAAGATTACAGCCTAGGAAACCCGATGGGGCAGTTCTACTCTGAGGACCTACAGGGTCGCTACGAGTCGGAATTGACTTGACTGCAAACAACAACATGTATTTGCTTATTTTATATAAGTGAGATCATTCAGTATTTGTCCTTTTGTGACAGACTTATTTCACTCAGCATAATGTTTTCAAGGTTCATCCATGTTGTGACAAGCATCAGAACTTCTCTTTACAGCTGCATAATATTCCATTGTATGTATATGCCACATTTTGCTTATCCATTCATCTGTTGATGGACATTTCGGTTTTCACCTTTTAGCTATTGTGAAAAGTACTGCAATGAACACTAGTGTATAGGTTTCTGTTTGTATTCCTTGCTTCATTTCTTCTGTATATATACCTAGGATTGGAATTGCTAGGTCACATGGTAAATTCTATGTTCAACTTTTTGAGGAACTGCTTTTTTCCACAATGGCTGTACCATTTTACATTCCCACCAGCAATGGATGAGGATTCCAATTTTTTCATATCCTCGCCAACACCTGTTTTTTCTGATTTTTTGATGTTAGCCATTCTAGTGAGAGTGAGGTGGTTTTGATTTGCTTCTCTCTAATGGCTAATAATGTTGAGCATCTTTTCATGTGCTTGTTGCCCATTTGTATGTCCTCTTTGGTGAAATGTCTGTTCAAGTCCTTTGCCCATTTTTTGATTGGGTTGTTTCTCTTTTTGTTGTTAAATTGTAGAAGTTTTATATATCTTTTAGATAGTAGACCCTTTTCTGATATATGGTTCCTAAAAATTTTCTCCCAGTCTTTAGGTTGTTTTTTTACTTTGTTGATTTATGGCAGCATTTTTATAATGACATAATAAGCATAATGAAGAATGTGGGCTCTCAGCAAGACTACCTGGGTTTTAATCCTGATTCCACCATCTACTCCCTGTATAACCTTGGGCATAGTATTTAACCTGTTCAGTTTCTTCAAATATAAGATGAAGATAATAAGGGTACCTACTCATAGGGTTATGGTGAGGATTAAATGAGCTAATACATGTAGCATTTAGAACAGTGCCCAGCTTATGGAAGGCACTCAGTAAATATCAGTAGTTACTCATAATAACTGGTGAAAATGGAAGCAACCAAGAAGTCTGTTAACTGGAGAATAAATTCTGGTGTAATAATAAAACGGAACACTAAGCAGGGAAAATAAGATATATATGTCAGCATGTAGAAATCTCAAAACATTTATCTCTGAGTGAAAAAAGATACAAAATGATGAATATTATAGGCTATAATGTATATCAATTTTGAAAACATACAAAACAATGCTATTTATGGTCTGTGGATACATACATAATATAAAATTATCTTTATATTACACAGGAAATATAAACATCAAATTCAGGAGTGATTACCTCTGAAACAGAAAATAGTGAATAAGTTTGCAGAGAGGTATACAGTGGGCTCTAAATGTATCAAATGTTTCATAAGTATAATCGGAGTTAAGACTAGCAAAATGGTAGGATTTGATACAGCTAGACAGTGGGTACATGAGGTGTTTATGTAAGTATGTTTGAAATATTTCATAGTAAAAAAGTTGGATTAGCACAACAGCCACTTACCATGTTCCTCCACATCTTCTTCAAATATAACACAGGTCCCAAGAGTGTCTGCAGAGAAATTTGAAGGCAACTTGTTGACAAATAACAGAGCTACATTCTCTGAAAAACATACTAAAAAAAAAAAAGTTTTATCTATGATACCTACCTTCATACTCCCCAGCAAAGACATAGTTGTCCACTTGCATAATAGGCCTCTCAGTGTCAATTCCCTACAACAGAATATAGGATCATAAAATCATGTTTAGAAAAAGCCATCAACATGTACCCTTGCTACCAAGGAGACTGAGCTCCAAAACTAAGGAACTTCTAGAGCTTCTTGTCCTAGCAAGTACATGGTAAGCTAAAACTGTTCTGACCACAGCAGCTACTGGAGACTGCTTAATTCATACTCAAGTAACAAGGTCTATTTCAATCAACATCCTCTTCAAGTCAAAAGTTTTGTCAAGAGTAGCTCACAAAGATTTTAAAGTGATAAAACAGATGATAACTTACAACGTTACAGCAAATCAAGAACAAAGTGTGAGAGGCCTTTGAAGTCTCAGGTATCTTTCCTTCCTTCTCCACAGTTCAACCTGAATGTGCATAACTGATTTTCCTCCCTTCACTTTGTGGGTCTCCTCCCCTTTCTAAAACAATATATATTTTTTTCAAAATGTATCACATTATTACATATCAAAATATATCGAAATGTTACCTCCTCCAAATCTTTTCTCTCCAGCCATACATTCAAACACTAAAGCAGAATTAGGCATTCTCCTATCTGTTCCCACAACCCGTCTGTACTTCTATGATGTACACTTCTTTGTAATATGGAGTAAATATATTAATCTTTGGGGAAGAGGTATTCCACTATTCGTTCCTGTTTTAAATTTAAGAAAATCTACAATAATCCCAATTCTAGAAGACTCACCAAAATCTTGCATTTATTTTCACATTTTGAGAGAAAGTCTGAATCTATAATTCCTGACAATTCCACCAGAACCAACTGCTCCTGGTGAAAGAAAGAGGGGTTAGCATACTAGCACGCGGGTGTGCAGGAAGAGGTAAGAAGCCAAAAATCCCCTTTAAAATTATCAAACTGCTGTGAAAACGAGGTCTTGCTTTTCAGAAGAAGTGGCAAGCGAAGCGCCGCTTCTTAAGGTAATTTCCTCATACTCCCATTTTAACTACGGTTTGGCAATCAGGGTTGAGGCCCAACCCCCCAGGCCCCGCGCGTCCAGGGGCCTCCCTCTCGCCAGCTTCCTCTGGGCTGCCTGCCCTAAACACAGCCAGCAAAGCCATCACCGCGACCGCCGGCCAGGTTTTCGGCGTAGCACTTACTTCCTCCTCTTCCCACTCCTCGCCTGTTCGCTCCTCTGCCGCCGCCATGATCCCACCTCCTCAGTGCCTCCCAGTCCCTCCCTAGTTACTCCCTCCCAGCGCCGCCATCTTGAGTGCGGGCAGCAGCTCCCTGAGAATCGTGCTCCCCCTCTTCTCGCCCACAAACTTCTCCTGCCAGAACGTGAGATGGCGACCTTCCGCGACAGGGCGGTGTCGGGCACGAAGAGGTGCGGACGCCCGCCCTTCCGAGCCCCACCCACTTCGAGACTCGCCCCTGGCCGCTGAGGAGCTCGCCCTGCTACATTTGGGGGCCTCGTGAGGATGGCGTGGAGACAAAGGGCACTTCAGGCTCTTCGGCCCAGGTGGGCTAGAGGACTGGCGAGGGAAGGGGATAAAGAAAGTGCAAGCAAGGAAACCACTATGTAGGAGGAAAATGGGGAGGCTTTGTGTTGAGCGGAGTGTACATTTCTTGAAAATTCTTAATATTGTATGAGCACTAATCTTCAAGTCAGGGTCGTCTGAGCCATTTTAAGGGCATATTTCAGTTTAACTTCTAATGAGCGCCTACTGCGTAAAAACACCGTTAGGAGCTCAGGAGAATAGAAAGTGAACTTCTCTTCTAGGTTGTTGTTAGTTGCCCGTGGAGTCGGTTCTGACTCATGGCGACCCCATGTGTCGTCGTAGAACTGTTGTATAATGTTTTCTTGGCCGTAATCTTCCTTGGTTACGCTGGGTGGGTTCTAATCGCCAACCTTTAGGTTGGCAGCCCAGCGCAAACCGTTTGTGCCACCTAGGATCTAGGAGGGCTGTATGAATGTTGTTAGTTGTCATCAAGTTGATTCAGAAATGGACCCAACCAATTATACTCTAATCAGATTGCCCTAAATGCTGTAAGAGATATAAAATTTCTGTGGGAATACAAAGAGACCCGGTAAAGAAGAGTTTTGAGCAGAATTTTTAAAAATAGCCTCATGGATTTTCTGATTATAAAATAAATGGTCTTTGTTCTTGAGACCAGATGATCAAGTGTTTAAAGAGCATGAGCTTTGGAGTCTGGGACCTGTCCAGTTCTGCCGCGTTTTTAACAGCAATGCCTTAGGCAAATTGGTTATTGTGCGAATGAAATGAGATAATAGATATAAAATGAATTTGGCCCAGAACTCTGCACGTTGTAAGGATTTTATGTGCATTTAATCTATTTGTTGTTGTTGTTAGTTGCCTTGGAGTCAGCTCGGACTCATAGAGACCCCGTGCACAACAGAAGGAAACACTGTCCAAACATTGCCTAGTCCTGTGCCATTCTCACCATTTTGGTATGTTTGAGCCCATTCTTGCTGCTATTGTGTCAGTCCATGTCATTGAGGGTTTCCCTCTTTTTCTCTGACCCTCCACTTTACCAAACATGATGCCTTTTTCTAGTGATTGTTATTTTCTGATGACATATCCAAAGTAAGCAAGAGGAGTCCTCCCTCACTTGTAAAAAGCTTTCTGGCTATACTTCCTCCAAGACTGACTTGGTCATTCTTTTGGTAGTCAACGTGTAACCTGACCCTATGAATGCCAGTAAATTTCTAGTAGTCCTTAAATTAGCCCAAGCCAGATTTAGCACGCCCCACATGTGCAGAAGGGCCAGCTGTGACCACTAATTGACATCAACAAAGGATGCAGCAACAGGAGGAATGAATAAGAAGGAAAATCATCACCCAGACCCATTCCGAAGCAAGATGTCCAACAAGAACCATGTCACCTTTTGTTTCCTGGCTGCTTTCTAGAATTTTCCCTCCCCAGTACACCTGCGTAGCCGCCATCTTGCTGCCCAAATCATATATAAGCCCTGCTTCCCCTAGCTTGGGGAGTCAGATCTGAGGAACTTCTTCAGCATCTTGGTCTGCGCATTGCAATAAAGTTACTTTCTCAAAGACTGGTCTCCAGATAATTGGCAAATCTGAGCGCACTGGACAAGGACCTACCTTCTAGGGTTTGGTAACACATGGTATATTTAATCTATTAGTAGTAATATACAATATTTTAGAGTAGCATGCCTTTTAAAAAAACATTTTAGTATATACCCTTACAGACTTCTTTCTACATACTCAGACACTCTTCCCCCTTTTTTTACTGTGTTTAAATTGTACATCCTATTTTTAACTTGCTTTCATCACTTTATACATCGTGGATGTTTTCTATGATAATTATAGATGTACATCATAATTTTTACTAACTACACAGTATTTGGAGCCCTGGTGGCACAGTAGTTAAGAGCTCAGGCTCTTCACCAAAAGGTCAGCAGTTTGAATCCACCAGTGTCTCCTTGGAAACCCTATGGGGCATTTCTACTCTGTTCTATAGGATGCTGTGAGTCAGAATTGATTTAATGGCACCGGGTTTGAGGTTTGTTTGCACAGTATTTTGTTGTGTGAGTGTGGCATAACGTAGTATCCTGTTTTTAACAGGTTATTTACAATTTGTGAATAGGATTTAGTAGCTTTTTAAAAAAGTAGAACACTGGACTTGTTAGAAGTTGTAGATTTGAATTCTAGCTCTGAAACTTAATAATTGTGGTCTGGGACAAGTCACTACCCTTTCTCAACCTCAGTTTTCTTATTTGTTAAACAAGGATAAAAATACTGTGTATTTTTTATTTGAAGATTAGATCATATATCTAAAAATGCTTTGTAAGTTTAAAAATGGCATAAATTGGCAACAATTTTTACCAGTTTATTGTGTATCTTTCCAGAGATATTCTGCGTATTTACAAAAACATATATGCACAAAATCTACAAAGTAATTTTAATATTATATCACACAAAACTAGAAAACCATTCGCTTGGGAGGGAAGGAGATTTTATAGCATTGACTCCATGGCCTAAGGCTCATGCCCTTTGGAAATAAGATTAGAGATTGACACATCTCTCAAACAGAAACAGGAACTTACTGGGCAACATAACCCATCAGCATCAGCTTTGAAAGAGGGATTGGTGTTGGGAGAGATAGGTGCCTAATTCTGCAGGACCCAGCAGTGTTTCGTTCTGTTTTACATAGTATTGCTATTAGTTGGAACTGACTCCATGGTCCTTAACAACAGTAGTTGAAGTTCTTTCTTAATACCCGCTACTCTCAATGACTTATAATTCCTAAAAAGATAAAGCCCAGAGACTACCTTAAATCCACTGCTGTCGAGTCGGTTCTGACTAATAGCGACCCCATAGTAGAACTGCCCCATAGGGTTTCCAAGGAGCAGCTGGTGGATTCGAACTGGCGACCTTTTGGTTAGCAGCCGTAGCTCTTAACCACTGTGCCACCAGGGCTCCAGACACTAGCTTGGAAACTCTAAATTTTATTTGATTAAGAATAAAGCAATAAAATGTGCAATATTTATACAATGGAAACAGGCGGCGCCAAGATGGCGGAGTAGTCAAACGCTTCTGGGGGACTCTCTGACAACAAAGACCCCAAAAAACAAGTGATTTGATTATATATGGCAATCTGGAAGCCCTGAACATCAAAGGCAGAGTTGAGGAACTGGACTGAGTGGCAGGGGGAGGGAGAGACGGTTCGGAAGCAGCAAGGAGATGCCAGACCTGACCCAGCAAGAGCCTGAGCCCTTCAGGCCTGATCAGCTTGGGGGTGAGTGGTGAGGCAGGCAAGCGGCAGTGCTCAGGAGGCATGTTTTCCACACCAGGAGACACCCAGTGCCAGAGAGTCTACACGGCCACCCAGCATCAGTGAGAAGCAGCCCTTGTCGGTGAAAGATAAGTTCTTGTGTATGGCTTACCGCACGGATCAAAAACACTCCCCTTAGGGAAAAACCTCTCTCCCATTTACCTCCCCACTCCCTGCTCTGCACTGGGTCCTGGACCGGCTTTAGCAATTGCCGAGTCCCCTGGGCCGGAAGTAGGATCCATACACGCCTGGAGCCATTCTCCCTGCCTTGGAGAGTGAAAAAATTAACAAACAGGAAAAAATAAACTGCCAGCTCCCCTAAGCCAGGAACCCAGGGTAGGCACAGCTCCTTCGCCTAGGCACAGGCATAAGGGATCCACGGACTTTGAGTGCCTTTTCCCCTGCACAGGGTCCATCTCAACAGTGAAGGCCCTCATTACTGCAGTACAACAGGGTATATAACAGAACTCTAACTGTTTCAGCTGTGAAATGGCAGGTTCTTGACATCTGACACTGCTCTGCCGATTAAGCAGGGTCTTCACCTACCCACATCAGGAACCTGAGGACTGGTGGCTCCCCCCATGCCACCTAGCTACCTGCAATAGGGGCCCGTGAATAAGAGGTGCCCCCAGTCCTTATAGCCAACAGCATTAGCTACTCATAGTCTGGCTGCAAAACCCACCCACATATGTGCTCTAGGGAACAGGGACACACCTTCCTCCTGGACACTCGGGGGTGGCCGTCAGACCCCTGCCTTGCTCAGAGTGTGTCCCCCTGCTGAAGCCAGATGCCTCTGCCTACACCAATCAACCATGCCTGTCTAGGACTGTAAGTGAGAGCCTACACCATACACTTGGTGGCTACCTACCTGGGCACCTGAGCTGAATCCATACAGGAGGAGTGGGCAGACTCCTGAGCTCACATACCTAGTAACAGATCTAACCACCTGATGACAGGATATTAGAGCTTCAAAGGTGCCAATAATCAAACTAGCTCATATGAGCAGCCTGTTTTGGGTATATCAAAACAAAACAAGAAGCTAGGACACAGT